AACTGTAGCCACCATGATGTATTTCCCTTTCTGGCGACACCCATCATCTCGACCCACAGGATACGGGCCCACCAAGTCCAAAGACATGACATAGGCGGAGCTGTCGGCATGCGACCGTCTGTGAGGACTGTCCACCCCTGCCAGCTCCATACATCGCCTGCAGTCTCGTCTGTAAGGATGGTGATGAGCTCTGATGTGTCGCTTCCACTCCTCAACGTTCAACTTGTGGATGCGCTGGGCAAGACATTGATCCCGTTCATGGAGATAGGTCCTCAGCGCTACCTTGAATGCAGCCACCAAGCCCGGTGCCCAGCTCGCCCAATCCTTCGAGGCATTGATTGAGGCCTGAAGATCTCGTGGAAGAGGATCCGATCTGCGTGTTGAATCCCTCAAACCATCCAGCTGCTCCAAGCCCGGCAGATTTCCCAAGACCGTAGTTGGCTTCCGTCTCACATGCCCCATTTGGGATTGATCAAAACTCACAAGCTTCAGCTGCCCTCGTCCCACCAGGTCCTTCAGTTCAGGAAAGTTCCAAAAGGATGGGAAGTTGGCTGCAACCTCAGGTCCAAGGTATTCCATTGGGTCTTCAGGAGACTCCAGTGCAAATGCCGTAGGAAGACAATGAAGCTCCGGCACCTGCATGCGTCGCTCCTCCGCCTTCAAGAACAGGCCCAGCTGCTTGAAGAGGAGCGCTGTGTCAGAGTTGACCCGATGCAGGTCCCATGTGGACAACCCTTCAAGATGGAAGCGAAGGCCGTCTCGTCCTCGAAGAGGAGGTGGTCCAGGCTGCCGTTGCCGCAGCCGTGACGTCGTCCGGCATGGTGGTCCACCCAAAATGCCAACCACCTTTCCAGCACATGCAAGCTCCCAAATGAACGCCCACGTGGCTGCATCATGTAGGTCAATCCCATGCAAAGTGTCCACCGTGAGGATCGTGTAGCCAGCCTGTTCCAGCTCATCCCACTGTTTGTGGTTCTTCCCTGAGAAGAGGTGCAAGAGGATACCCTTCGACTTCCACAGTCTCCTTCTTCGATGGCGATTCCAGGGAAGACTAGAAGAGTGGTCACGCCAGCTTTCACCCTGCCCCTTCATGAACCTCCAGATGGAGTGCGGGACCTGTGGGAAGTGATCAGCCCACCACTTCAACTCGTCCTCCTTCAAGTCCACATCAACCTGCTGCATCTTCTCCAAGTCACCCAACAGGGACAAGCCTTCCGCCCTTGACATCACAGGGCATCCTCCCCTCAAGCTGCACTGCAAAGGCCCTTTAGTAGGGTGGTGGATCACGATGCTGTCTCTCTTCCATGTGATCTTGTAGTCAGCTGCCACCAACCAGGCCAATGGAATGATCGGCTCAACAGGGCTCCGGCTCAGCAAAGTCTGGTGCTTGGGGTGCTTGAAGAGGGTCGTAGATCCACAGGCCAACTCCACCTTGGTGGCGATCAGGTCAGGTTCCTCTTCAGGTCTGGCCTGTCGAAGTCCATGCGTGGCTCCACCATCAAGGAGTGCATATTCTCCAGGTCCTCCATAGATCCCTTCTCCCACGGACTTCATCCGCACGGCCTTCAAGGACCGGATTGACTTCAGCAAGCTTGTGGCTTCCCTCATCAGCTCAGCTGCTGCTTCTGTTGAAGGCTCACCCATTGGTTCAGTGGCAGTTGAATCACCACCTTGAGTTCCATCCGAGGTACCTCCAGGAGTCGTGCTGACCACCTCCTTGGGCTTGACCTCACTCCCATTGGGGGTTTTCCCAGGGCTCTTCTGTGCCTCCACCACTTGGTCCTTGGCGGCTGACTTCGGGGTCGCCTTCACCTTGGAAACCTTCTTTGGCTGTGAGCTGTCTCCTGCGGGGCCACCAACCGGGGTGGAAGTAGGAGTTGAAGTAGATGAGGTCTTCGCTGTGCAGTCCTTCCGAAGATGTGAAGAGCTCCCACAATTGAAACACCGCCCCTTCATCTCCGTGGTCTCATGAAGAAAGGTGCACTGCGATCCCCGTCTGCATCCCTCAGTAGTCTTCCAAAACTTGCATGAGGCCTTCGGTTGGCTTCCAGCTGTTGTACCTGCTGTCAAAGCTGCGACATCCATGCCCACAACAGCCTTCAGCGAAGTTGTTGCAGCAGCTCCAGCACTAGTAGCCCTCAAGCCGATTCCCAAACTCAACTCCTCGGCCTCGGACTGCAGGTACTCCGCATACTGCTCAATGGCGAGTGCCAAAGGTCTGAGGTCTACCCCCAGCTCCTGCCTCACCGAAGCTACCCGGTAAGCAAGCTGCGTTCCACCCAGCTTCCCAAGGGCATCTGCAAAGCGATGAAGAACTCCTCCAAGAATGATCGGATCGGGAAGGGCCAAGTTCAGCTCCATGGATCGGCTCATGAGACGCCTCCATCGACGAAGTCCCCCAAGCAAATCCGGTGCGCTGCTGGCCACCTTCGGCTCTGTGAGCTGCTTTAGAATGCTCACCCGCTCTGAGCTGCCGCCAGGTTGAAAGATCGTCCACAACCTGTACATAATGCCAGTGACCGTCATAGTCCTACTGGCAATCAGGTCCTGTTTGATGGACTCCGGCACGCACTTCAGCAGCATAGGCACCACCCTCTGCTCCAAGCGTAGATGGGCCTCGGATCGTTGAACTTCTGTTGGACGAAGTCTGATCCTCTCCAAGGGCGTCGAAGTGAGCCACCGGTCATACAAGCTTGAGGCATCTTGCAAGATGTCACCCCACCAACCACGAGCAGATCCAGCCACGTCCCCAATCATCGGAGTGACCACTGTGATCCAATCACCAAACTGCAGAGCTGACTGCTCCGTCCCAGGTTGAGGTAGTAGAGGAAGCTCAGAACCTCTCAAAGGCTCCATTGGCTGTGCCACACCTTGTTGTAGATCTGGTCCACCCAAGCCTGGAGGTCTCACCAGCGACGTAGTTCCACCTGCACCTCCACCAGCACTAGGTCCAGTCAGCCCACCTCCAAGATGTCCTGCATTGGCCGACATTCCCAATCCACCCGGAAGTTGACCACCACCATGTAAGCCCACATCAGGACTCTGAGAAGTCACTGCCGGTCCACCATAGACTGCACCACCTTGATGATGTCCAGGATTCATCCCACATCCACCATTGAAACCCAGGACACTCTGCGTTCCAGGAGAGTGAGTCACCATTGGAGAAACCGGTTGACTCCACATCATGCCACATCCCAGTCCAGCTGTCTGACCTCCTTGATGAAGTCCATGATGCCCAGACATAGGTTGCACCCCAGGCTGCACTGCCACCAAAGATGACGTAGGAGCTCCCTGCAAAGAAGGCATTGGTGGAACCATCCTTCCATTCGCTCCAGGCCCACTCGAAGCTGTGTGGTAAGAGCGCACCTCACCCTCCGGCTCCTCGCCCTTCAACTTCTTCGCCTCTCTGATGAAGCTTTCCTCTGCTGCCTTCACAATCCTCAGCCGAAGTGCTTCCACTGACTTCTCCGGCGACGGTTGCGACAGAGCTCCACTCAGGCCAGCTTGAAGAGATCCAGCACCACCATCAAGTAGCGCTCCATTGGCCTGCACAAGGCCTGCTTGTTGTCCTTCTGCACCAAGGGCCTGCCCAGGGCCGATGCCACCAGTTGCAACCCAGCTTGAAGAGGCCTGCACAGGGCCTGCACCAGCTATCATGCCGCGCGAAGAGGCCTGCTCAGGACCTATGCCATTAGCCGCACCGCGCAAAGAGGCCTGCTCAGGGCCAATGCCACCAGATGCACAGCGCGAGGCCTGCTCAGGGCCAATGCTACCAGCCATGCCACCAGGATGAAGATGTCCCGAACCTCCACAACCTTCACCATGGGCCTGCACAGGGCCGTAAGACACCGGCGGGCCAGCAAGCGGCGGCAATGCCTGAGGCCTTGCAACATCCGGCACTCCCTCAAGTGCTGCTGCCCTTCTGACTTCACTGCTCCAGAAGGCATTGACACCAGGCTGAACCATCAGAGCTCCAGCACTGTCACGATCATGGCCAAACCGGCCATCTGCTGCCTCAACAAGGTCATGCCATCACAGTATCCCGAACCTCGTCCTTGGCCAGCATCTCGTTGATCCTGAGCTGATAGTTGACCAGCTCCAACGGCACTAGAAAACTCTGCCACCACGGCTGGACTGGTCTCATCATCCTCGTCCAACCTTCTATGGAAAACTCGTGGGGGCTCCTCCTGTCCAAGGTCCTGGAACAGCGGAGCTAAAAGGCCATCCGGCACCGGAGTCCCTGATCCCATCGGCAGCAAACCCGTGGACCCAGCAGCTTCACCTTCTCCTTGACCATCACGTCGGGGTCCAGGGTTTGAAGCCGCAGCTCTTCCCTCCTCCACCATCAGTCTTCTGACTTCAGGCACCGGGGAGCTGATCCTCGAATTCCGCTCCATGGCTATCAGGCGATCCAGCCGTTCATCAGCTGTCTCATCACGCAGCTGCCGCCTTCGACGGTCCATCGCTGCGCCCCAGCGGAGATCACCCAAGCGCCGGAGCACTTGGGCTCATAACCTGCGAACCCCAAACGGGGGAAAAAACCCGAAGCAGCAGCGGCTGCCTCTTTCTTGAGCCATACAAAAGTGCGTGTCATTCGCTTGTGCAGGGGCCATGCCAGTGAGACGACTGAAGCATGTAAAACCCCTGAGACATGTGAACACTTCTTGATTTGTGCGTGTCCATCCAAATTGAAAATGCCACCACAGAAACGATTTGATGAAATACAGAGATCCATCACGCTTTTCAGCAGCGTGATGCCCCAAACTGCTGCTCTCATAACCCACAAACGACGGTGGCAGTGCCACCTCTGTACAGTGCAGTGATACAGAATGACCACAGGAAGACTGAAGAGGGACAAAGCGGGCTGCAACAATCACATACAATTGCTGTAATACTGTAGCATGAATAAGTCCGAACAGAACGATGCCCTGTGTAAAGTGCAGCAAATGGATGAAATTGCATGACAAATCCATGGCCTTCCACACTGCTGAATTAGTCCGCTCAGTTGGCTCTTTTCACTCTACGTATCAGCTCAACTCTGAAGTTGTGCCTCAAAGGGACTGCATCAAAGTTGGCTCAAGCACAGCTCACGTTCTCTCCAATTGAAAGGCGGCGGTCATGTTACGTTGGTGCAAAAGCAAAACTGCAAAATTCGAAACTCTTGGCAGCCGAAGATCGCCTAAGATCTGGCATCCGGGTGAGGAAAGGACAAGTCCCAGAAGCCTTCAGTAGCACTTCTGCGTGGCAAACAGCTAAACAGGCTAAACAAACGCATAAAAACGTGGTCTCTTCACCGGTTGATGCTTATGTCCCTTGTAACTATGTGTAATTGATTATCGATAAGTATGAATGTATGATATATAGTATATATATAGTATATATATATATATTATGTAGTATATATATAGTGTATATATATATATAGAGAGAGAGAGTATGTCTGTATATATGACTCATTATTACTCATATGTTGCATATACAGATACATCTATACACACATATATCAAAATGCTTAAAGATGTAAAACTTGTTGAAGTTGCAAAGTCTGTGCCCAGCCTGGTGGAGTGCAGGTTGGTGCATGATCCATTCGGTGTCGGGATGCTTTCAGGTCATCTCCCTTTGGACCGGATTGCTTGATTCCATTGATGTGCTTGGTGGCAGCGTAGAAGTTGCGGCACTGTTCACAGTCAAAACCCTGTAGTGCACTGCGTTGTGCTTTCCCACGGACTACACAGCGGCATGGAACGCTCTCCTTGACGTTGGAAGATGTCGAAGCTGAATGTCCCTCTGCCCGAACTCGATGTTCAAAAGATCCAGATCGTGTGAAGGCTGGGGGTGCTTGCACAATTTGAAAAGCTGCCTGGCCTGCCTCAGACCTCTCAGATCTTTCAGATCTTTCAGATTGCTCCTCCTCAAGTTTCTCAAGCGTTCTTTCGGTCTGACCTGCTTCCTCGTGCTCCTTTGGCACGAATCTCCGGGAATCGCGTCCACTCCAAATCCGCAGCCCTGCTACCTGCGCCACCTGCGCAACTTTCAAACTGCTGGAGCTCTGCGTCTCAGCTCTACCCGCTCTGCCACATTCTGGTGGTCTACCATCCTCTGCATCCTCTGCATCCTCTGCATCTGATCCCATCTCTTTCGGTCTTGGGACCATGTTGGTCGACTCGGTAGACTTTTCTGACTTCTCTCTCTCTGACCTTTCCGACCCTTCAAAGCTTGGCTTCAACTCACACTCGGGGAACTTTTCTCTCTCTGCTTCCAAGAGTTTTGAGGCCGGAGTCAAACTTCTGAAGGGAGCCAGGGCAGCCTTCCCCATCAGGTTGGTCTTGTCTTCCAGTACTTTGCCTAAGAAATAGAATTTCCAAGAGTTGAAGCTGGCAAGATTGGCAAGATTAAAGCAAATCAGTCCAGGCACCTTTGCCAGTCTTGCTGGGCTCTCCTTTCACCTGGCGAGTTTTTACCACTTTCAATGTGAGCTTGAAAGAAGTGAACACTGCTGACAAAGATGTGCAAAAAAGGGTGCCTGTTCTGGCACTTTCTTTGGCGAACCTTCATGGTCTGCCAAGCGCGGCCGCTTAACGCCTGTCAGTTTCTGGACATTTCTGGACTACTTGCATGCCTCCAACTCCATCTCTGCATTCTCCGCATTTCTGAATGCGGCGTGCCTCCGCCATTCTTTCTAGCAAGCATTGCGCCCACAGTTCTGGCGCTGAAAGCTCGCAACCTGCCCTGAGGCGGAAGGCGCTCAAGAAATCTCAAAAAAGATGAGCAAGGAGTGGGAGGGCGCTGTTCTATTTTGTCCTCTCCCCCTCTTTGTTACAGTATATTACAGGATATTACAGGACTGATTTTCTGCCCATGCAAGTCAAGCTTTCTTCACTATCTTCAACGCAACCATTTCTGCGAGCCTCGTGCTCAGCAATCACCTGCTGCTGCTTTGCAACAAGCTTGCCCAGAGACTCTGCTTTGGCCTGGAGAGTGCACCAGCTCCAGCATTCACCGATTCACCACATCTCATTATTTCTCTAGGCCCAGACACCAGCTGACCATAGCTGCCCTCTGGAATCCAAGGCAAAAAGACCGAACAGTGCAATACTTTGTAGATGTTTGTAATATCACAATGAAGTGAAAGGGATTGCTGGGTCTGCTGCCTTCAACTGCTGATTCTCAGCTTTGGCTTCCTCTGCGATCCTGGCGCAACCGCAAAAAAATCAATGAGAAAAAAGTTGTTTGTCAAGAAAAACTATATAACTAAGTTGGAAATGGACCGCTGCGCAGCCTGCGAGAGTCAGCGGCCTCTTTTCGTGCAGCCTGCATCAGAGCAAGTCACAATTTCAGCACCCAAAAAACACCCAAACACCGCCAAACATCCTACAAATGTGTCGGCAGACAAAGCTGCCCGTGTCCTGGGTTCATGCACTATTTGGAAATGTTTGGACATCTGAAGCAGAAAGCCAGAAAGCGTCCGTTTTTCATCTCACATCGCCAACAACAAGTCCCTCCACATGCAGTCTGCAAGTGGAAGAAATGCGGACAATTGCACTCCTGCCGAGTAAAGAGTCATTGCGAGGTACCAGGACTTTCGCAAAGGACTTAGTTCGACCCACAGTCTGCCCTTGCGCATTCACTCCTTTAGACCTTTCTTGTTCGGTGTCCCCAAACCATACACGCTCCTCACGGCCAAGTAGATGTTCATTTCGGTCATATGAAGTCACAAGGTCGGCCAACTCCTTATAGCGGTCCTTGCCTATGTGACTCTTTAAGGGCTTCAACCGGGCTGCTGAAGTCCCTGGTCGCGCGTAGAATTGGGAGATGTGTATGCCTTGAAATTGGTATTTTTTGCAGAGAGCCATTGTCTCCTCCCAGTCTTCTTCGCTTTCAGTGGGAAAGCCACAAATGATGTCCGTCAACAGAAACATCTCCGGAACTCCAGCTTTCAGTCGATCTGCCAAATAGGAAAACTCGGCCACTGTGTATTCCCTTCTCATGGCTCTAAGGACTTGATCTGAGCCTGATTGCACAGGTATGTGCATAAAAGCATGTACATTGGGTCTGTTCAAGACCTCGATGATTTCATCTACATGCTGCATGATGAAAGGCGGGTTCGTCATACCAGTCCGCAACATCACACCTGGATAATCTCTCAAGAGTGCATCTGAAAGACGTTTCAATAACTCTGCAATGTTGGTTCCAATATCAATACCATAGGCGCCCATATCCTCTGATGCAAGCTCAATCTGGCATACTCCTTCACGAGCAGACTCCAAAGCTCGCTCTATGATGGTATCAATGGGGTACGACACAACCTTCCCTCGAGACATCTTGGTCATGCAATATGTGCAATTTCCCAGGCAGCCCGAGTTTATAGTAATAATTTCAGCGAAGCGATGTTTTCGCACTTTGGGAAGAGACAAAGATGGCAAGTCGTTTCTTTTGTCCATGAGTTTCACGGTATTTCCCTTCACAGTCTCCTCCACCACCTCTACAATTCGATCCAATTGAGTCACATCCAGCATGCTAACTTCAAGCTTATCCGCCAGCTGTCGGTTGCTGGATGGCACACAGCCTGCTAGAACGACACCTTTGCCCAGCTGCTGTGCATTGGAGACCAGGTTCAATGCCCTCGTCTCTGAGGGATGCTTCACTGTACATGAGTTAATCACAATTGCATCACTTTCTTCCAACGAATCAACAAGCGTGTAGCCATAGTCTTTCAATTGTCCTGCCAAATACTCTCCATCCGACTGGTTGTGAGGACAGCCAAAGGTTTTGACATGGATGCGCTGTCTGCCGGGAAGAATCGATTGGTCGGACGCAATGGCATCTGTTGTTGCTGAAGTTGGACGTGGCTTTCTGAGAACTTGTCCCATCCCCAAGAGAGGTGGTCTGGAATGATTGTCGCTTGCAAGATCCTCAAGATCGTTGTTCTCGTTGTTCTCGTCCTCGCTTCCATCAATTCCGTCGGCTGCAGTGCTACTGTCAGACTTGTGTTCACAACTTGACCCGTGCCCGCAGCATTTTGATGCCTTCGACACATCTAGCTTCAGGGTTGTCCAAGTTGTCCAAGTTGTCCAAGTTGTCCAAGTTGTCCAAGTTGTCCAGTAAACTATGGCACCTGCAGAGACTGCCAGCCAAAACGGTGCTACTTTAAAACCTTTAAAGGCGCTCGGCGCAAGCTGCAAGTTTCTGGAGTTCACCGCACCCATGGCTCTTATGATTTCCTAAGGTTTCGTATATTTCGTATATTATCTGATGATATCAACGACGTTTCAACGATATCATGACAAATCATGAAAATGTCTGTACTTACTTGCCTTGCCAACTTTCATGATGCGCAGAGTGTAGAGTTTTCGATGTGGTGCAAACTTGTAATTGTACTTATACTTGAATGAACCATCATGAGCTATATTATATCTACGTCTTGACATCAGAATGGTTTTGATTAAAACTGATTGTATATACAGTGCTTGAGGGAAGGGCCACCGAATTCGCAGTGGAAACGAAACCAATTCATCCCAGTGCAAGGGTATGAAACTGCTGACCCCCGTAGCATGTCGTGTAGCTATTCCTTGCCTCCAGTTCTGCTTCAAGGTTCACAACATGTGATCGTAGGATGCCTTCGCAGCATTGAGCCTGAGGGTAAGAAGACAGAGGAAAGCACTAGACCCGCAAGACTAGCAAACCTTCGCTATTTACGTGTAGACAAAAAAAAACGATGAGATAGCTTCGTCAAATCTGCCAGCCTCCCTAACGGCCCTGACTAAAATGTCTGCCGCCTGCCAGTGTCAAATGCGGCCACAAAAAGATCAAAAAGGTACGAGATGGTAAGAATACTGACTGTTTGCCTTGCAGAGTTTTGGCCTGCTGCAGAGAGATGCCACGCACTGAGGCTGGCGTGGTTGAAAGACCTCCAGAGACACAGTAGTTACTCAGTAGTTCGCGTTCATGAAAAGAATTTGCAAAATTTGTGGTCATGTCTAGTACAGTATCGTTTAGATCCATTTTGCACGTCACACTTTGATGCAATGACATGCAATGACATGCAATGACAAGTGTAGAGTCAGAGGTGACCTCCAGGATCTTCTGCTGAAACAGCATCCTGCAGAAGATGCAAGACACAGGGAAGTGCAGATGTGCATCAGATGTACATCAGATGTACATCAGGCAAGCGCTTTAGCATAGCCACCTGGACATCATTGGAGTGCAGCATCAAACCTGACTATCAGCGATTTCATCACCCGGCAAAGAAAAATCTGCCTCGCTTGCAACTCGGGTCCCCGGACAGGCGTTGGAGAGAATTCATTCAAAAGGCACCACCAAACGAGCAACTATGCAACTAACAGCGCGCGGGGAAAATCAAAGAATCAATATAATCATGGAAATGTATCCTGGAGCCAACGCTGGAAACGGAAATGGCTGATGCAAAGTGGTCGGGCTATCGTTTGAGGCATACTGGCATACCGGCATACCTGTCTTAAGTCCATGGAAGCGTGCACTGTGGCATCGGCATTGACAGCATTGAATTGCAATGTATTGCATTGTGACGTCCTGCAGAGTCTCTTTTTTGTTGCACTGGCAGAACTGGCCACGCGCCCCTCAACCAGACAAAAGGAGCCTGGTCATTTTTGCCCTGTGCACAAAACACCTGATATTGATCTCTTTTTCAGATAGACTCTGTGCTTCGTAACATTCGACCCCAACCTGATGTCGGGATCGAACAGCTGTGCAGTGGGACATGAACTTTCTGCTTCAAATCGCATAACTTGATGTGCGCTTAATGTCTTTAGTGGCAATCCCCAGGCTAATCAAACGGAAAGGTGACACCGCAGCCAAAGACAAAAAACGGCAACCTTTTGCAGCCCGGTCAAATGCAACTTCTTCTGACCTTCTGACTCTCGTCTTTTCACTGCTTATTGGGAAGTCAATGGCGCGCTGCCTTCCTGACTTCTACCAGGGCTCTATCAGCATTGGATCTCGCCAGAAGTGAACTGCCAGCTCTCGGCTCGCAGCTCTGTTGCGAGTTAGATTTACATACTTTCCAATGAATTCAAGGGCAGCTAGATAAATCTAGGTCCTTCAATCGTCTTAAGCAGGGTGAAGGTGGTCATAGGCATCTCTCTTATTGTTTGCTGGACTTTCGTGAAAAAAACAATACATGCGGTTCAAGATCGTGTCTCAGCGACCCTTGGGCAAGATCTCTGTGGAGGTCTTGTGGAGGTTTCCTCCCCAAGCTATGCACAGGTCATAGACCTTGATGAGTTTGAGCGTAAGAGGCTCATTTCATCTGGGAAGCACGATTCTCGGAATACAATCACATCAGATCATATCATAATATTATAATGATCATAAATAATAAATCATATATATATAAACATAATCAAAATATTCATATTACATCATATCATACGTATATCATACCATCAATCCTCTTGGGATTTTGGTCTGCATGACTCCGTGTGGCAGGTATGGCTGAAACATGCTGAAGTATCCAAGAAGCGCCTTTCCGGGTGCGCTTGCACGCAGAGCCTTCAAGCTCTTGTCTAGATCTACGGAAAGTGCATCACTTGAAGCATAAACGGAAGTGCCATGAGCTCCAAAACATTTCACTGCCTACCCTTGAAATCCGTGGACGAAGTTGCGAAGTTGGCTGTGCTTAACTTGGCACAGCTTTGTCAGACCATTGGACCCTTGAAATTGCAACAACTTGACACAACGCAACAGCTGTGAGGAGAAGAATTGTCAGAGCGGATCGGCAAAAATGACGCCCTCCTTCCACAGGCAGTTCAATACAAACAAGATCAAACAAGTTGCACCTTGAAATACCTTGAAATTTCAAAATCGAAAAACAGATAAAAACAGGTACCCCCGTGACGCCCCGTGACACCCCGTGAGGCCCGTGGGGCAGTTGTCCTTGCTGGCTTGTGTGATCCACCCAATGGCCTCAAGTGACGCTCTTGAGCATAGACTAATAGCATTAGACAAGCATAGCTCTTGTATGATGTTGATTGATGTTGTATGCTTTGGTCCAAAGCTTAGGGGCCAAAAATAGGAATACAAACGAATACAAACGAATACAGTATAGAGAAGGGAAGGGCAAGTCAGGAACTGGAGCAACCTTTGAATCATTTTTGAATTAATATGAATGAAGTCTTTGAATCAACAGCAGAACGGTTACAGCTGGGACACTCCATCAAGCTTGGCTTTCACCTTCAACCGGTGCAGACCAGACCTGGCATGGCAAGTGTCTCACTATGTCTCACTGCGTTTCTTGCGCAGTCACTTCACTTGGTGAGACCTGACAACTCAAAGCAAAAAGGTGATGATTGGTGGAAATTGTGTGCGAAAGCTTCTTGAACTGATTCGCGTGCTATGTCTTCAAGTCAAAACATTCAAAACATTCAAAACTGTCCACACTCAAGACGAAGCACAAGGCTGCTCATGTGGAGACTTGGGTCACTGCTCTTCGTGTTTGGTTGGCCAGGAAAGAACTTCTAGCACCTAGCTATCAAATGCAAATTGTCTTTGAAATGTCAGTCTTTGAAACATTTTGAAAATAGACTTGAAGCAATATGTTTCAATAGACTAGACCTTGCTTGAAGAGTTTATGACTTGAAACATCTTGAAACTTCGCATACATCTGAACACATCTGGCCTCTGCTTCTTTGAGCTTTCTGATGCCGGCCTTTGGCGGAACATCCTGCAGTGGGCCCAGCTGCAAAGTGCGGCGATTGCAAATGGAGTGCTTATCACGCACGTCCTCGAAAGACTCGAAGAGCTCGGTTTGTCTCAGAACCTTTGCATGGGAGGCATGGCAGAGACTGGGAGTTCAGCTGCAAAAGCTGCACAGAGGTATCCCGCATTGTCCCACCTTCCACAAATGACCTCCTTCCTGCAGAAAAATGGTGCCCTGGTTGCCAGCAACGGTGACCCAGCCCTCCTGCATCCACTGAAACTGCGCAAGTGTCTATGAATTGCTCGCTCTATACTTTCTTCATGTTACTTCTGCCGTGCGTGCCCTTTTATCGTGCTTCTTTTCACAGCACACACTGAGTACATCAGGAGGGCTTTTTTCCAAAGCTTCGGAAGCTTTGGTCCTTGTCTTCGCCAATCACCTTGCGCATGCGCAAAACAAGCACACCAAATTCATCTGAGCCACATCAACTTGCACACGGCCAAAGCACCTTGCCCTTGGCCCGGAAAACCTGCAAGCACACCGAGAATCTACAAACAACATGTTTTTTTCAAAAAGAAATAAGCATGTCACCATATTGCCGCCACCCCGTGCTTAAATTAAAGGAAAAAAGAACATGTTATTGCCATAGAGTATTTTGGTCATTTTGTTGCGGCTGCAACCCTGCCTTCATGGAGACCTCTTTTTCAGGCCCCTCGAGCATCTCCACAATCTGCAAGATCACAATAGATTCTTAGATCACTTCACTGCATATTTTTATTGCATATCTTCATCATATCTTCCTATTACTATCATTCCTTTACGGCATGTGCTACTTGCTTTCTTGTGATACATGTTCTGTTGTCAGTCTCTCACCTGTGACGTGACATGCTCGCAAATCAAACAGAACACGTGCCCTTGAAGAACACAGCAGCACATTTTTTTGCCAGCTTCGGCTCATTGGCTCATACAAGCGCTGTTCAATTTGAGTAGATTCTCTCTTCTGCTTGCTGGCGTTGAAGTTGCTCACCAAAGTTCCTTGATCTAGCTGGTGCTCCTGGTGCTGGCCACAGAGAGGTAACAGATGGTAACAGTTTCAACTTTCAACGCTACAAAACGCAATCAACAATTAAAAAGGGGGAACCATCAATGTCAACCGAGTGGTCTTTAAAAAAGGACTCAGTAGAACGTGTGCCAAACAGACTTCTCAGGGTGGTTAGTTTGTTCTGTCTATTGAGTTTGTTCCAAGTCATACCGAGAACGTGGGTCCATTGCTTGTTACTGTCAGCACAAAAACCTGCGGAATGAAAACGCGCACGCACACCCACAGAGAGACACAAGTGCATTGCAAAAACAAACTACAATCCCAACCCACGGGGAGGCTCGGACGCCTTTATTTGAAAGTGCTCTTTTTGGATTACAGGTGGTCCAGAAAGCCCACATGTAGAAAGAGGGAGAGGGTTGAAGAAAGCCAAGAGCTCAGGCCTGACTGCAGTAAGAAACTGGAAGGCAATCTGTTGAGAGGGGAAAAAACTGGCAAGGATCATGAAAGAACATGTCAATCTGATTCTATTTTGCAAAAGCTGCCTGTGGAGATATGCCCACTGTAAAGAGACAGGAGGAACACTTCACACCCCAACTTTCTCACGGAAAAGGGATGGAAAGGACACTGAAATGCACTGAAGGTAATGAGATCAAACGATGGTCCATGAGTCAACAAGACTTGAACATCTGCCGGCTCCAGCCTCGCATATTTGAGACAACCGCCTTGCTCCGATGCATCTTCCAAGTGACTTGAGTGTGATTCGAGTAGGACGCAGATCTCGTGTTTTAAATTTATTTCGTCGTTGTTCAGCATCAAGAGCCATTAGCTCGTCGAATAGCTTTTCCGCTTCCCGAGCCAAAGGTGGTCTGCATCTGGCGCACGCTTTCAATAGCTGGTTGTACTGAATGACAGATGGCGGAATATGATGTAGATCTACCATCTGCCTGAAGTATGCTGAGGCTCGTTCAAAGTTTCCCTTCTCAGCATAGGCATTGATAATTGGCCCAAAGCTCCGCTCATCAGGCTGCAGACTTTTCGAAATGATGTCGTTTTCCAGAATCGCTTCTGCGTCATGGATAGTTTCTGGGTCTCTTGCATGAATATCAATGACACAGTTTAACATAACCAAATCTGGACCGAATTCTTCCGATGCTCTTGAAGCCCACCGTAGCGCTTTGTCTTTGCGTCCCGCAAGAGCCGCTCCTTTGACCAGAGTGGACAGCATCACTTTGTTGGGCTCGAAACCTGCAGTCTGTGCTCTGCCCTGCCAATACTCTGCTGCTCGCACATCCCCAGCGCGACATGCTGCGTCAACCATCGAGGTGAAAAGCACCAGGTCAGGCTCCAGCCCAGCATCGAGGGCTTTTTCAAACCACTTTTCGGCTGCAAGCAGATCTTTGCATTTGGCAGCCGCGTCCACCATGACACTGAAAAAATGTAAATCATTGAAGCCTGCGTGCCGAGCATCAGAAAAGATTTGCTCAGCCCTTGCGAGTTTTCCATTAGCAGCACTGGTCTTCAACATCTCCAAATAGATCTTTCGAAACACATCCTTGTCACAGTTCGCACAACGAGTAGCCTGAAGCCATCGTTCCACACTTTCCTGGTTCCCTCTATCCAAATGCATTTTCACCATTTCCTTCAGTGCCAGGCACCTCAAATCCGATGCTTCTCGAGAAACACCCGGGCAGGTCTTTGCTTTGCTCAAGTCAAGTGTGATCTTTCTGAGCAGCTGCTCTGCAACTGGTAAGCAATCGTTGGCTGCTGATCGGATGATACTCAGAATTACTTGGGATGTGGCTAAAACGTACTGTGACTGGTTGGTTGCTTTGTTGAGCCACTCCTCAGCAGCATGAATGTCTCCTGCTTCTGCAAGTTTTTCTGCAACAACAATCAAGGTCATTTCGTTTGGTTCAATGTTGGAGTCACACATCTTCTGCAGCCAGGTACTTGAGGTCTTCATATCCCTTGCCGCTGCTGCAGCTGACATGACCCCATGAAATGCAACAATATCTAGAGGCTGCCCGCTGTCAGCAAGACGCTTCAACCACCGTTCAGCTGCAGCAACGTCTCTTTCACGGGCTGCTGCATCTATCAGCATTATGTATGGCGCCTGTCCAATTTGGTCCGAAACAGATTCGAGTTCTTCAAACCATTTCTCTGCATCTTTCAGGCTTGCAGCTTTGGCAGCTGCTTCTATCAATTTGCCGTAGGTCCGCACATTGGGCACAATTTGTTCTCGGCGCATCTCTTTGTACAGCTCGTGAGCGTGCTTGTGGCTTCCAGAATTCGCGCAAGCCTCCGAAGCTTCTGTAAAGTCTATGAATCTTATGATAATGGGAAGTCTTCCAATCGCTCCCGCTTGTTTCTGCTCATTTCTGTTGTTGGAAACCCCGCCTTCAGAAGCGTGTTGAACATGACTCGCTGCTGTTGCTGTGGAGCTCTGCCATACAACCGACGAAAAAGCCCCTCGGCGCGGAGCACATCCCCTTTCCTGGGCAGGAAAGCATTCAGCACACAGAAAAGTGATATAAAAGATATAAAATCATTCAAAGTGTGCGAACTCAATAAACTTTCTATAGTATAGACTAGTATAGTTAGTTGCATTGTCATGGTGTCTTGTTGTATCTTGTCAGTTTTAAGACAAAGCACGTTGCCAGAGCGTTGAATCTGCCAAACTCTTCAGCAAGGTCCTGTGCGGAAATGGTAAAGTTATCAGCATTCACTTGTCAAGTGCGTCATTGATGTCATTGTTTTTTTCCATGCTTTTCCCGTGGTTTTCCATGTTTTTTCATGTTTCCCTGGTTTTTCATGTTTTGTTTGAAGATTCTTGCACAGGGCAATGCCGTCCTCATGGAACGTTGAAAATCCTGTTGACGTCCTCCAGAGCCTCCACGGCCTCCATACCTTCATCCGACAGCAGCACGTTGGACTTCGCGGTAGCATATAGTAATTTTTTAGTAAATACATGTAAATACGGTAAATAGATGGGAAATAATGTAAATAGATGTAAATAGCATATGGCAGCAAGAAATGTCAAGTTTCACCATGCCAACTTATGCAGCAATACAAGATCTGATCTCTGAGCAATAGACGTTGGATTTTCTGGCATACCCTTGGTACATTTTGGTACCAATTGTAGCTCTGCATGAGACCCAAAGCGCGTTCACTGCTAGTGTGTGTTTCTGCTTGTCTGATGCAAAAATGCTTGAAAGAGTTCGAAAAAGTGTGTTGAGTTGGTAGGCCATGATTCAAGACTCTTCCCAGATGGATTCAAGTGAGTTCCATGGTGTCTCGAACCAAATCTCGTTTTCTTCTCACCTCCGATTGATAAAGATCCGCTGGCTGCGTTCAATTCGGACAAATTTGGAAGTCATCTGATCAGTGAAGGCGCCTCCATCCTTGCTGTTGCAAAGCGGCTGGACCAACCAGCTGCACCGATTGCTCCGGCTGCACCCCAATTACACCCCGAGTGAAAAGCGCACGCCTCCCCAACCTTGAGCTGATGGACTGTCTGGCTGCCATTGACTTCCAACTTCTCAGTCATTGGTGTCTCCTGGGGAGAGGAAAACACGAAACGTGATAACAAAAATTAAAAAATGACAAAACTGTGCAGTAGACTATGCAAAACATGTCCTGGTCATGTGTGGTTACTCCGGTACTCTTGGCTTCACACAGTCGAAAAGAGAATGCGAGTTCAAGAATAAGAAACAGCATCTGTATGACAAGAATGTAGAAGCCAGAGCGGCTTGACCTTCAACTGCCTTCAAAACCTTCAATATATTGCAAGGATGTGCGTGAAGAGCACGAATGAAAGAATCCGTTGGGCATCGTTGGGCGTTGTCCTTAACAACCTTGTAGTAGACCTTTGCCATCCGAGAGAAGACCTCGAACAGAGGCAGCTCTGCAATTGATCCAGGATCAAACAAGAGGAGACAACGGAAGATGCACCCATGCACGACATACCAAGAGATAGCAAGAGATACCAAGACGTACCCTACCATCTTGTCTTGTCTTTTTCTTGGCTTGTCTCGGCTTGTTGTCACCCAATCCTGTGCCTCTGGGGATAGCTTCATCGGTCCAGCCGGCTCAAGCACGCTGGCAAAGAGACTGCAGTCAAGGGCTGCGTTAGGTTCCAATGAGAATCCAAATTGGTTGAAATTGTACTGTATATAAACTATTAATGAAATTAAACTGTATATATATATAACACCTGCTAGCCGTTCTCGGCTTTCCTACATGTTCTAAATGGGAAACCGTCCTTCAAGTCTTCCGGTAACACCTGACTGGGAAGTATGACTCAGCATTTTGACCCCAAGCTTGGAAACTTGGATTTGGCAAAGTCTTCCAGCTTCTGATTTAGCTCTGGCCTCTTCAGTTCCTCGGGTGTTAGCTCTGCTTTCACCTTAGGAAACGAACTTCAGTGGGCTTAGCACAATTCAATGTGTTTCACATGTTTTTGCCGCCTGTGAGGGTTCTTATTTTTTTTGTCAAAAAATCACAAAATGGACGGGAAAATAGGGGAAACACAAAGACATAGACCTCTTGTGGCATCTCCGGAAGTCCGACGCGATGAAGCCGAGGCGCGACCTTTTTGGGTTTGGGTTTCGGCTTTGGTGTGGCTTGAAGCATGATCGCAGCGAGGGACTGCTGACGGAGTTCCGCTTCCTGAAGCAACTGAAGCAACAGGCGCCACGAGGCACGGCTTGTGGAAACTAAACGTCTAACAGGAACAGGCAACATGCCAGGGAAGCACGCAAGTGCTCACAAATGCACACTGAACACTTTAAAAGTGCAAATTCAGCTTCCGATCCAATTCGAGCCTTCCACGATAAGACATGATAACACATGACATGTTACATGATAAAACACAATGCTTTTCTGCGCCTCATCTTGCTCTGCCACAGCAGCCAATGTGATTTGACCCATTGGATTCTCATCCAAGGTCTCTGGCACTTCGAGAGCATTTTCCTTCGATGCACAAACGAAATCCCGGTGGAAAATGTAATCCTGGCAATCCTGCTTCACGTTTTTTGAATGACAGATTGAACAAAATGATCATCAAGCTGCTTTGTGTTCGCTTGCTTGTGCGTGTGTGTACCATCTGAATAGATGTAAAACTTCTATAATTTGCAGGGGGCCACCGGGGTCCGGGGGGGTCGGTGGCCAACGAAGACACCCCCCCGGGACCCGTGTAAACGTACCTGCTGGCAGTGGCCCTGGACGGCAACCCCTTAAGTGGGGGCCGTAGCTGGGCACTGCAGTGACAGTCCCTGGGTGCCGTCGTGCGCAGCTGGGATGTCACAATCAATATATATATATTATATATATACACGTTGGGTTATCTAACCATTCCTGTCAGGTTTAACTGAGGTGTCTTTGCACGTGCGATGCATTCCACATCAGTAATTCGATAAGATGTTTCTGAGCAAGTGTGTGATTCATGCTGGATTCGTCAAGGTGGCATGAACCCTTCGGGGAAAGCCTTTCCAGGCTAACATTTGACTCGTAAAACGATCTCTGAATTTACACTTTTGAATTAGTAATTCGTCTAAGTAAAGTGAACTGCTGGCCTTTTTTCGAGTCTCACCCTGTCGAAGTCGTTGGTTGAACAACTGCCCGCTGTTCCAGGGACTCACCTTTTCTGGCACTTCAAGGGTTCGTAGCCGTCAGCTGCGTCAACATCTTTCCTTTTTTCAGTGCTGCTCAAGCGACAGACCACATGTCAGGCATGCTCACATGATCAGGCGAAAGGACATGCTTGCAGGTATGGTGTTTTTCCTTTTATGGTCGTTGGTGAGACAGACCACATGTCAGGCATGCTCACATGATCAGGCGAAAGGACATGCTTGCAGGTATGGTGCTTTTTTCTTTTTATGGTCGTTGGTGAGGCTCAACTGTGCACGTAATTCACTTGAATACTGACAGCCGTCGATGGGGTTGACTTGAATACCGAGGGCCTTTGAGCCTTATCACGAATCTTGCATGCTATTGTGGATGCATCATTTACTTAACTAGTCCCCCATGGGCCCCTTTTCTCATGTGTTTCTGCGTTCTCCTCTCTTCAGGTAGGTTGGGTCCTGCGCGTGCCGAGGTAGGCTTAGGTTTCGCTTTAGTTAGGTTGGTTCAGGCGCTTCCGTCCTCCCCCTCCTCCGCTGGTCTGGTTCCGTGTCCGTCGGCCTTCGCGTTGCTTTTTTCCTTGCCTTTTCGGGGTTTTTGCCCGTTTCGGGCTAGGTGTGTCGTGTTGGTGTTTGCTCTTTCCCTCTTCTCTTGCGTTCCCCTCTTCACGTCCTGGTTAGGTAACTTTCATTCCATTTCCACTTTCATGTCATTTTCATCGTCATCTCATCTGCCCCGCTGTTGCGGGGCGTGTGTGTGTACCATCTGAATAGATGTAAAACTTCTATAATTTGCAGGGGACCACCGGGGTCCCGGGGGGGTCGGTGGCCAACGAAGACACCCTCCCGGGACCCGTGTAAACGTACCTGCTGGCAGTGGCCCTGGACGGCAACCCCTTAAGTGGGGGCCGTAGCTGGGCACTGCAGTGACAGTCCCTGGGTGCCGTCGTGCGCAGCTGGGATGTCACAATCAATATATATATATATATATATTATATATATATATACACGTTGGGTTATCTAACCATTCCTGTCAGGTTTAACTGAGGTGTCTTTGCACGTGCGATGCATTCCACATCAGTAATTCGATAAGATGTTTCTGAGCAAGTGTGTGTTTGCTCGGCAACGTGTGGGATTCAACATCCAGAGGCCAAGCAAGGGCAGCTCGCATCCTAATCTTCTGTTCCCTTTACATCCTGGTTTGTTTCATAAAAAGACGCTACTATGGGTTGTTGGTTTCCATAGCTCACACCTAAACATCCTAAACAGCCTGCTGTTTTCGCAAAATGCAACTTTCCTATACTTTCCCTTGCTAGGACTGCTATAGGACTGTTAGGAGCCTTCTCCATCTCGATGTCATTGAGCTCTGGAAACTCCTCGATTTCCTTCTCCTTCTCAACCCTCTCCACCTCTTCGACCTCAAACTCCTCGTTAATCTCCTCACAACATCTAACAACTGTCTAACAAAATCTACTGGTAATGGCAACAAGACTGAGCAAGGGGATAACAATGGACCAATGTAATCACGATGCAGTCAATTTGCAACATGGCACCAGCAAAACCTAGGACTTTGGATCGATATGGATCACTGGAAGTCAATGAGCTCCCGCCTTGTCCACTGTGGCAAAAAAGGAGACAAACTCCTGGGCACTCTTCACAGTTTTATTGCAACTCTTCACAGGTTGTGATCTGTCAAGCCAAAATGCGTGGGCCGTCATGATGTAAAAACATCACTCCTCCTCATCTATGGCACCATCACCATCTGCGTCTAGATGACCAAACAATTCCTGAATTAAACGGTGCGATGAACGGATCACAAGTCCAAGACGTCCAAGAAAACAAAGTCTGAAAAGCTCAAGTCCACCCGCTTGAGTGCTGAATGATCTGAATGCACAAGAATGCAATGTCTCCGATGTCTCCTCAAAAGTGAGCTTGTTGACCCGAGCATATTGACGAACAACCTGCAGGAGGTGCGTAAAGAATGTAAAGATGGAAGACTGGAGGCATTGCCATGGCTCGCTAACACGAGTAAATACAAAGCAGGTGAGCAATCCGGCACCGGTGTGAAAGCAATGTGGAACCGAACCAATGTGGAAGCGAACCTTCATCCCAAATGCTCTGACCATTTCAATCGCTTGAGCTTCCTTGCGACAAGCCTCAAAGCCAACACAAGCCGCGGCTCGAGGAACCATACACAACAAACATATGCACGCAACAACAAACAAAAGATGCACAAGTAACTTACAAATCAAGATGCATTAAGTTGACATAAGTCAACTCCATACTAGCATATACTAGCCATACTGTACTTGAATCAACTTGAATCAACTTGAATCAACTTGAATCAACTTGAATCAACTTGAATGAATCTAATTGTAAACTTTTGTAAACCAATTGTACAGGAAACCGTGGGCATTTTCCCTCGGCCCTTGGACGCCCTTGGCCTGCTCTTTGTGGCGTCTGCTCAGGTTCTCCACACGAGCTATGCGAAGGTCTGCGCGACCCATCTGCAGCTCCAAGAGCTTGGACTGCGGCAGATTTCACATGGATTGTAAATGGGTTGTAATGGATTCTGTGCAGATTCCAATGGCAGAATACCATTGGAAGCAGAAGCACGCACTCAGCACCCTGCTACACCATGACAGGGTGCAATAGTGCAATCCAAGGACAAATGGAAGGAACTCATTTGAAAAGAAGCGAAAGAACCCCCAAGCTTCGTTAAACCATATGCGTGTGTACAGGTTTGCTGTCGTTTGCTGAATTCTCGCCTCTATTCTGAAAAACTCTGTCATGTCCTCTTCGTACTTCCTCGGTTTTCAATTATTTGTGCAAGCAGACACATTTCTCTGATTTCCTATTCAGTCTATCTGAACAGCTCACAGCTTGGCACATCTTTGCACAAAGGGCGTAGAATTCAGCAGGGCATCTTGTCGAAGCCGAAAGGAATTGTCTTGACGCGCTGCTTTACTTTGTCAGCAGTCCGCCTGCAGGCCTGACGTCCATCACATTAGCCCAGTGAAGTGACCTGAAGTGACCTTGTCTGACCTCATCTGACCTACCGGCTTCAGTCAAGCAATTGTCCGCCTCGACAAGGCGCTCGCACTCAATAGCATGCTCTTCCATTTCCGAGACTGATGAGGTCTTAGCCTAAGCCCAGGCCAAGATAGGCCATTGCCAAAACCAAGTGACCAACGTGCAAGAGCTGATGCAAAGCATTGCGCGCTCTCAAAGTGTCATGAACTGTCCGTGGGTCGGATTCGGAGGTTTAAACGTGTTTGGAACATGTTTAAACATGTTTAAACAGCTTGAAGATCTTGAAAAGATCTTGAAAAGATCTTGATTCTGAAGGAGTCAGTGGAGGTGTCGGAGTCCCAAGTCTTTCCTTGTCAAGTCGTCCGATGATGTCCGCCGTCTCCAAGACGGCGACCTTCCAAGCCAAAGGGCGCACAGCTGCTTCCGCTGCCCGCATCTCCTGAAAGCTGTGGCTGGGCCACGTATATCCACCTCAAGACAGATCCCAAACTTCCCGACCCACGACTCGCAAAAGGTGAATTGTTTATAGAAGATGCGGCAGAACATCGCAAATGTCATCGCAAATGTCATGTCGTGACTTTCATACCATTTCAACGTATTTCAGCGGTCTCCTTGTCGAAGTCAGAATAGACCTTCTCAACCTGCCATGGATGTGAAATGATGCGAAGACGCTGCAATGGCGATCCGCGGGCGATCGGGCGATTAAGCATGAAGCTGAGCCTCTCGGACCTTGTTCTTCAGCCTTTCCCTGAGCCCAGCCAGAACCTTCTCCTTTTCGGCAGTCTGGTAAGGTGCAGAGTGGCTCGACCAAGATTTGGCTCAAGGATTCAGTGGACAGTGGACATAAAGCACAAAACCAGCTGCCTTCGCTATTCTGGCTGATTTCCTGCGCCTGGCGAATACAAATACGTGTGTATGATACTGTATATGTACATTTAAATGAAGTATGATATATGGTATGTGAATGTATATGACATGTGGCATTTGTAGATGTAAATTATATATAATATGACTATATTATATATTATAGGATATTATTATTATATATAGGGTTGCTTTGACATGTTTTGACTGACTGAGGTGAAACAAGCGTAGTTCTTCCGTGACATGACGATCCTCGAGCTTTTAAGGACGGTGATAGTGTGAAGCACTCAGGCTTTTCGCCGAGCAACTCATTTCTTTGCATCTCTCTGGCGATGCCAAGTGAGGAATTGAGCAGGTACATCCTTGGCGATGTAAATGAATGCACCAACACTGAAAGCCAGCAATGAAACCTTTCCTAGGCTTGTTGAACAAGTTAAGCTGGTGCCAACTTCAGATTGATCGCATTCACTTCAACTGTCAATGCTGAGAGCTATGTTTTCGCATCTGGAGAAAGGCAGTAAGGCACAGGCTTCTCAAAACTTATGCCTTTTTCATCTTCGTCCACCGTACATCTCCAAATCTTGTCAAGGAGGACCTTGGCAGGATGCAAAAGGCAGAGCTGCAGAGCTTCCGAATTGCGCCCTTGCTGAAGTTTCGTGGCCCGAAGGCACCTTGTCCACATTCACAGAGAGCTCCTTCTTCGCATAAGCTATGACCTGAGAACACACAGGAAATGGCCGCAAAGTTACGATTGACTGTGTTTTGTTACGGCTCTTGAACTGCAAAGCTGCAAGGTTGTCAAACGACTTTTAAGCTGGAAAGATCTGGCCTCTATCTGACTCAGAAGCTGGTCTTTGTCACGGTCATATTTGGCAAATAGAGCCTGTCCATCACAAACATATAATGCACATGGACAATCCACGGCAACAGAAGAATATTCCAAGTTCAACTCTGCAAAGCTATAAAAAAGCTGACATCAAGATCTGTTAAATGACAGTGAAATCAGTGAAACAGTTTCAAGATGATTCAAAACTGAAAAATGTGGAAAGAAGATGAAAAAAGTTCGGAGGTTCACACTGCTCACAATACTCGCAGTGCCTCTCTTTCCTTTGTCTTCTGCCGGGCAGAGGCGCGGCGGACAGCCTGCTCTTTGGCACCTAGCAGGAAAGACATAAAACTCAGAGCAGACGTGAATACAAGAGTTAGCAAACCAACAAGATGTGAAGAGATGTTTTCAAAAATGACAAGTGGTGGAAAATGATAAAAGAATATAAAAGAATATAAAAGAATATAAAAGATGGTAAAAACACAAAAGAAGTTCCATGAAAATCCATGAAACTCCATGAAGCGTCAGCTGAATATACAAAGCTAGTTGTGGCTCAACAAGTGGTTCAGCGTTGACAAAAGAAGCAACAGCAACGACCACAAGGGAGTAGCAGCCAGAGAGGGAAGAGCTTGAGGAGTTGCGAAAAATAGGATCAAATAGGAGGCTCGGGATGAAAAGGAATGAAAAGGAACCAAACGTATCCAAACTTCGCTCAAGGATGTTCAAAGAGCAAGACTTGACTAAGGTTTGGCCACGACTTGGCCAAGAGGTGAAGAATGGTGAAGAGAAACAAGTGACAACAACTAACAACGATGACAACAAATATACCTTTAACAAATGTCATTCACTGCCCAAAAGATACCTCTGGCAGCTTGGATCAAAGCTTCCGCGGTCTTACCACACCTGCGATTCAAAGCATCTGAAAGCATTCGAGAACTGACAGGCACTGACAGGCACTTGTTTCAATCGTGTCACTGATGTAAGTCTTCACCTCTTTGGCGAAATGTGATCAAGCGTGCAAACAAGGTTCACGGCTTGACCACAAAAGATTCAGCGCACATTCCTAAGTCCCAAGTCTCTGACTCATTGATGCGCTGAAGGAGCTTTCCCAATGCCTGTGCTACAATTGGACACCGGTGCACTTTCGAGTATGTTCAGTCACCATGGACCGTGGATGTGTCACTTTTCACAGACAAGTATGTTTTTTGGCAACTGCAACATGTTGAAGGAATGATATGCAAACGCGTGAAGGACAAACAGACATATGAAAAATTGCATAAAAACTGCTGCTAGTGCAAGTATGCAACAGTACGCAACTCATTTGCAGATCCACCCAAGCAGAAACAAATCAAGAGAAAAAACAAAAAATAAAAACATTCCCTGGAACAGTGTCAATGCCCAGCCAAAGCCGGGCCGAAGGAAACGAGACGAAATACGAAATACGACCGAACATATATATATATATGTGAGTCCGTGTTGCATATAGATATGTATATAAACGGAAAATCGAAACATGTCTATATATATATATTATGTATTATAGTTATAATGCTATGGATTATTACTGATATATATATATTATATATATATGGTGGTTAGTAACCTAACCATGGAACCGCAGGAACCTGAACCGTAGGAACCGAACCGAGAGGAACCTAACCGTTGTGAACCTAACCGAAAAGATTCGCCATGGAACCGTCAGAACCGATCGAACCAAAAGCAGATATACCGAACCGATCGAACCGAAAGCAGATATATAGAGTCTATCCCATGGAGCGGGTTCTTCGTTCCCGCATGCAAGCATTCCTTCCCAATATCTCCACTTCGGTATTATTGACGCGGTGTCCCTAACACAAAGAACGATTGAATTGTGGTCAATGTGGTGCCCCAAATGAAAATTGATCCCCGCTCATCATGCCCCATACGGATCCCTATTGACATTGTAGGGGGTCACTCAAGTGACCCCCATTTTCTAGATAGAAAAGTTCTGACCCAGTCAAAAGCCTAGAAAATGCAAAAACCAAGTAAAATTGGACGTTTTATTTGATTGGTCTATTCATTTTCTAAAGGGATATATGGATGTTTTGGACATGTATTTTTTTAAACAAACAGGTGCATGAGAGTACAATTCACCACTTTGGGTCTAGAAAATGACCTGTAATGCCATCATAAGAACAATAAAAAAATGTTCCCTAAAAAAAATGGTTTCAAAAATGGAGGACCAGAAATGAATAATGTTTTCTTTAGAAAATGAATTGTGCAATCCTTGCTAAGGCAGGTAATCCATATTCCCCAGGAATCACCAGAAAACATCAAATTGAGTCAGTTCTGCCACAAAAAAAACAGAAACTGACCTGTAATCCAACGCCATCGTAAGTGATGTATTCCTCTGCCCAAGACTTGTTGAAGATTGGTTGATAGAATCAAGGTTGGCCAAGGTCTCTATATTTCTTCGGTTCGACACCATGTCTTGCCAAACGTTTCAAGAAAATGCAGCTGTTAAACAACAAATTTTCTACAAAATGAATCAACATGCCTTGGTAAAAATCCCCTTTCCATTTTGGGGGTAACTAAAAGATCCTCATGTGCGAGACAAATTAACGGAACAGTCACAAGTCACAAGCCTGGAAAACGAGAAAACAACGATAAAGATCGATGTTCTTGGGGGCCTGGTCAAATCATTGCCTAGATATGTTTATGCCTGTTCTACACGTGCATTTTTTTAAAGAAAACAGGCGCATGGAAGTGCAACTCATCATCAACTCACGACTTGTTCTCTAGAAAATGATCAGGAATAGCATGAAGCTGCACCAGTCAAAAAAAACAAATAAATATGTGTCAAAATCCAAGACCCAAAATAAGTCATGTTTTCTCTAGAAAATGAACTGCCTAACCCTTCCTGAAACCGGCACCCTATATTCCCCAGGAAACCCCGAAAACATCAAATTGGCCCCCCAGGAACTAAAACCTCATGTCAAAAAAACATGATCCAAGGAATCCCCCGCCCAAACAATGATGTCATCGACCCTTTCATGTTCAGGCATTTTCTAGGCAAACATTGAATGAGCCAAGGGTTTCCCAAAATACTAATGTCTCTGTTTGGCTTACACTTCATTCAAACAATATTGCGCATTGGCACTTCAAGACTTTGGCACTTTCGAGTGAACCCTGAAGTTCCGTCTGCACAATTTTGGAATAACCAGTTCAAAAAAACACATATCATCACATGACATTTCAGCAAAATCTCGGTAAATTATGGTCAACTTATATCTGTTTCCTGGATACCCCAAATCGTCTAGAAAATGCATGGCGCAATCAATTTGGCTCTTGATATCAATCTAGCAGCTGTCTAGAAAACAACTTGATCGAAGGAAGTTTAGAAGTCAAACTTCCGACAATATGGAGAGATGAAAAGCAGAGCAGGGAAGAGGCAGAGAGAAGAGAAAGATTAGAAGAAAGAAGAGCAGAAGAGAAAGAGTAAGAAGACAGAAGATGCAGATGCACGAAAAGGTAGGAATGTCGCAAAACACTGTGTTTTGCCAATGATTTGTGGCTCCGGAGGGTCGAAAAGTAGGCTCGCTAAAGCGGCGGGTGCGGAGCCAGCTGGCCAGATGAGAGATGAAAAAGTGCACGCCGTTGTGGCGCGAAGCACATTTCGAAGTCAAAAGGTACAAAACACCTCAGCGTCGGACCACTTTTGGAAGTTGAGGTGTCGAAAAAGTGCACGCCGTTGTGTCGCGAAGCACATTTCGAAGTCGAAAGGTACAAGACACCTCAGCGTCGGACCACTTTTGGAAGTTGAGATGTCGAAAAAGTGCACGCCCTTGTGGCGCGAAGCACGTTTCGAAGTCAAAATGTACAAAACACACCAGGTTCGGACCACTTTTGGAAGTTGAGATGTCGAACAAGTGCACGCCGTTGTGGCGCGAAGCACATCTCCAAGTCAAAATGTACAAAACACACCAGCTCCGGACCACTTTTGGCTGTTGAGATGTTGAAAAAGTGCACGCCGTTGTGGCGCGAAGCACATTTCGAAGTCAAAATGTTAAAAACACCAGGGGTTCGGACCACTTTTGGAGGTTCGGATGTCGAAAAAGTGCACGCCTTGTGGCTCGAAAGGACAATTTCGAAAGTAAAATGTTCAAACACTAGGGGTTCGGAACATTTTGGAGTTCAGATGTCGCTTCGCCTCAAAACTTCTACACTCACAACTAGCAGGACGTTACACTACACTACACTCCACACACTACAACTACAACTACACCACTACAACAACTCCACTACACTACCTACACCCACTAACTAATTACACTACACTACACAGCAAAATTACACTACAAAATCCACTACAACTACAGTACCTAGCATTACCACACACTACAACAACTACTTCAAAGACTTCACTACATTACTACACTCCACAACACTACAACTACAACTACACCACTACACTCCACTACACTACACTACACTCCACTACACTAAATACACAACTACACTCCACTACACGAAATTACACTACACTACATTACACTAGACTCCACTACACTACACTGCACTCCACTACACTAAATTACACTACACTTCACTACATTACACTACACTACACTCCACCACACTACACTGCATTACACTACACTACACTACCTTCCACTACACATCACTACATTACACTACACTACACTCCACTACACTACAACTACAACTACAACTACAACTACACAACTACACTCCATTACACTAAAGTGCACTACTCTACATTACACTACACTACAGTACATTCCGCTACACTCCACTACACCACACTACATTACACTACACTACATTAGACTGAATGACACTGCACCACAGATAGACAGGTAGATAAATAGATAGATAGATAGATAGATTGGATTGGATTGGATTGGATTGGATTCGATTCGATTAGATTAGATTAGATTAGATAGATAGATAGATAGATGGTCTACATTGACGACTCCCTCTCTTATTTTTTATTAAGACATAATACCTTGCATTGTATCAACTAAATATCTTTATTCTTCCACCTAAAAAAGGTATGATAAATTTTGTTCTACGCTAAATCAGCAATAGAGGATTCAATGACAAATAAACCCTATGTAATCGTACTTGGAAATGAAAAAGGCGGCACAGGAAAATCCACCACAGCCATGCATTTGGTTACAGCACTTTTGCGCCTAGGCTATAAAGTTGGAACAATTGATATTGACGCACGTCAAGGAACTTTATCCCGGTACATTGATAACCGAAAACATTATGCGGAAACAAATAAGGTTGATTTGCTATTACCAGAACACTATCGACTAACCCGCTCTGCGGAAGATTCTACAAAAACCGCGCAAGAACAAGATAAAGCGAATTTTGAAAAAAATCATCAAGACCTGGGCAACAAAGAGTTTATCGTTATTGACACCCCGGGGCATGATTTTTATTTATCCAGGTTGGCGCATTCTTATGCAGACACTCTAATTACTCCACTCAATGACAGTTTTATCGACCTGGATGTATTGGTCCATTTAAAATCAGATTCCATGGAAATGGAAAAGCCCAGTATCTATGCCGACTGGGTATGGGAACAAAAGAAACATCGGGCTATGCGTGATCGTGGGTCAATTGATTGGATTGTATTAAGAAACCGTTTATCCAGCATTCATGCCCACAACAAACAACGTATGGAAGATGTCTTAACTCAAATGTCAAAACGATTGGCTTTTAGGCTTGTTCCGGGGTTCAGTGAACGTGTTATTTTCAAGGAATTATTCCTGCAAGGATTAACCTTGCTGGATCTTGCCGATATTGGCCGACCGATGCAATTATCCCATGTTTCTGCACGCCAAGAACTGCGAGATTTAATGAACACGATAAACCTGCGGCCATTGCAGAAAAAAGTTGCAGAAGCCTTCAAATAATGGTTTCTTGATACCAGAATAAAATTCAAGAGGAATTCAGTGACAGTTAAAAATTAAAAAACAGTGTTTCCAGTTGCTGGGCTAGGCACGCGTTTCTTACCAGCCACAAAATCTATGCCCAAGGAAATGCTGACTGTTATTGATCGCCCCCTCATTCAATATGCAATTGAAGAAGCCAAAGCATCAGGAATTGAAGAATTCATTTTTGTTACGGGTCGTGGAAAAACAGCAATCGAAGATTTTTTTGATTACTCCTTTGAATTAAGGACCACACCCTTGAAAAACGCAATAAAACCGATGATTTAAAAACCGTCAATGATGTTGTCTTGAATCCCGGCAACGTCATATACACACGTCAGCAAGAACCTATGGGATTGGGTCATGCGGTGTGGTGTGCCCGTCATCTTATTGGGGACGAACCGTTTGCAGTTCTGCTTGCAGATGATATGATTCTTTCAAAAACCCCTTGTTTAAAACAAATGATCGACCATTATACCGAAGGAAATATGGCTGCCGTCATGCAAGTTCCAAAGGATAAAACATGGCAATATGGTATCCTTGATTGTACTTCTGAAACTGATAAAATTATTACAGCTAAAGCTTTGGTTGAGAAACCAGATCCAGAAAAGGCCCCTTCCAATCATGCCATTATTGGGCGCTATATTTTAACTCCAGACAGGTTTCAGCAGGGGTAATCACTATTACACCCAAATGGACTGATAAACCTAAAGGGGCAAAACAACCGTTAAGCTAGCAACGCGAAACCCTTTTTGTCCTGAGCCGCAATGCTAGTCAGCATGTTACTATTATACATAGTGTTTTATGTGGGATGCAAATACAAATTTCACAATGTGGTCCCCGTTGCGGTGTCTGGATCTCCCAATGTGGTGGTTGAATTTCCCAATGTGGTTCCCATTGTGGTGTCTCTATCTCCCAATGTGGTGGCTGAATTTCCCAATGTGGTCTGCAGAAGGGTGTCTGGATCTCCCAATGTGGTGGCTGAATTTCCTAATGGTGTCTCGATTGCGGTGTCTGGATCTCCCAATGTGGTGGCTGAATCTCCCAATGTGGTCCCCATTGTCTTGTATGTATCCCTTGAATGTGGTGGTTGAATTTCCCAATGCGGTCCGCATTGTGGTGTCTGGTGTCTGAATTTCCCAATGCGGTACCCATTGCAGTGTCTGGATCTGCCAATGTGGTGGCTGAATTTCCCAATGTGGTCACCATTGTTGTGCCTGGATCTCCCAAAATGTTGTGGTGGAATTTCCCAATGTGGTCCCCATTGTGGTCTCTGGGTCTCCCAATGTGGTGGCTGAATTTCCCAATCTGGAAAGATTCAGCCACCACAATGGGAGATTCAGCCACCACAATGGGAGATTCAGCCACCACAATGGGAGATTCAGCCACCACAATGGGAGATTCAGCCACCGAAATGAGAGATTCAGCCACAACAATGGGAGATTCAGCCACCGCAATGGGAGATTCAGCCACCGCAATAGGAGATTCAGCCACCGCAATGGGAGATTCAACCACCGCAATGGGAGATTCAGCCACCGCAATGGGAGATTCAGCCACCGCAATGGGAGATTCAGCCACCGCAATAGGAGATTCAGCCACCGCAATGGGAGATTCAGCCACCGCAATGGGAGATTCAGCCACCGCAATGGGAGATTCAGCCACCACAATGTGAATGGGAGATTCAGCCACCACAATGTGAATGGGAGATTCAGCCACCACAATGGGAGATTCAGCCACCACAATGGGAGATTCAGCCACCGAAATGGGAGATTCAGCCACAACAATGGGAGATTCAGCCACCACAATCGGAGATTCAGCCACCGCAATGGGAGATTCAGCCACCACAATGGGAGATTCAGCCACCACAATGGGAGATTCAGCCACCAAAATGGGAGATTCAGCCACTGCAATAGGAGATTCAGCCACCGCAATGGGAGATTCAGCCACCGCAATGGGAGATTCAGCCACCGCAATGGGAGATTCAGCCACCGCAATGGGAGATTCAGCCACCGCAATGGGAGATTCAGCCACCACAATGGGAGATTCAGCCACCACAATGGGAGATTCAGCCACCGCAATGGGAGATTCAGCCACCACAATGGGAGATTCAGCCACCACAATGGGAGATTCAGCCACCACAATGGGAGATTCAGCCACCACAATGGGAGATTCAGCCACCACAATGGGAGATTCAGCCACCGCAATGGGAGATTCAGCCACCACAATGGGAGATTCAGCCACCACAATGGGAGATCATCAGCCACCACAATGCAATGGGAGATTCAGCCACCACAAATGGGAGATTCAGCCACCACAATGGGAGATTCAGCCACCGAAATGGGAGATTCAGCCACAACAATGGGAGATTCAGCCACCGCAATGGGAGATTCAGCCACTGCAATAGGAGATTCAGCCACCGCAATGGGAGATTCAGCCACCGCAATGGGAGATTCAGCCACCGCAATAGGAGATTCAGCCACCACAATGGGAGATTCAGCTATCACAATGGGAGGTTCAGCTACCGCTTTGAGATTCAATTACCACAATGGGGGATTCAGCTAGCAGTTGCTGCCACGATGAAGATGGAGAACTAATTACAGTACTTTTTTTTGAGTAAACTGGTGGAACCGAACCGGTGGAATCGATTTTTTTTTTGGGGGAAACCGAACCGGCAGAACCGAACCGTTTATTCAATAACCGTTTATGAACCTAACCGTGCATACGAACCGGAAAATTGGAACCTAACCAAACCGAATCGAACGGTTACCATAATACGACGTATTGTGTGTGTGTGTGTGCGTGTGCGTGTGCGTGTGCGTGTGCGTGTGCGTGTGGGTGTGTGGGGGTGGG